GCGCTGATGGTGCCTATGAGCAGGGCGGGGCTGTTGTTTTCTGGGACGAAGAGGGTGTAGGAGGATTGGGTGAAGGTGGGGGCGTTGTCGTTGACGTCGGAGACCTGCACTGTTATGTTGTAGTGGGTCTTGAGCCTGGGTGTCCCCATATCACTGACGGTGATAGTTAGGTTGTATTGAGCTCTGCTTTCTCTGTCTAATTCTCCTTCTGTCATGAGGACGTAAAAATTTTCCACAGAAGGCTTCAGATTGAAAGGCAAATCTCTTTCAATGTAGCAAGCCATCTTTCCATTTTCTCCAGAGTCTCTGTCTCTAATTCTAAAAACTGCCAGTTCAGTTGCCGGAGAGTTCTCCGCAACGTAGTTGGAAAGTGATGATATGATCAGTTCAGGGGGATTGTCATTGGTATCTAATATCTGAACCAAAACTGTACAGCTTGCAGACAAACCCCCACTATCAACTGCCTGCACATTTATCTTGTAAGACTTTACTAACTCATAATCTAGTAATCCTCTGAGAATGATTTCCCCAGAAAAAGGATTGATTTCAAAGCTTGTTCGAATATCTTCCGAAGCATCAAAAAATGAATAGGAAACTTCCCCATTGACTCCTGAGTCTATGTCATCTGCAGAGACTTTAACAATGAGGCACCCTACTGGGCTGTTTTCTGGAACCTGGGTTTCATAAAGCTCCTCTGAAAACTGTGGGGCATTATCGTTGATGTCTAAGACCACTATCCGTATAGTGGCAGTCCCAGTCCTGGATGGAGACCCTCCATCTATTGCTGTAAGTGTTAAACTGAGCTCTTGCTGCTCCTCCCAATCCAGAGCTTTGTCCAAAACTAGCTCTGGATATACCATGCCTTCATCTTCATTAATTTTAATATGGAAGAACACGTTAAAGTTGATGGTATAGTTTTGGATGCCATTAAGCCCTCCATCTGGATCCTGAGCTCTTGCTAGTCGAAATGCTGTCCCTTGGGCTGTATTTTCTAGTATTTTTAAAACCATCTCTTTGTCCTGAAATGCTGGTGAGTGATCATTTATATCTGTAACTCTGAGTTCAGCTTGGAAAATCTGAAAGGGATTATCCATTAAAATTTTGAAATAAAGCATACAAGGCTCTGTGGGGCCACACAGCTTCTCCCGGTCCAGCTTCTCATTTGTGAACAAATCTCCAGTATGAAAATCCAGGAGCAAGTATTGTTTGTTATCATCAAAAACCACCCTTGTTCTCCTCACAGCCAGCTCCTCCACCCCTAGCCCCAGATCCTTTGGTAGACTGACCACAAAAGATCCTCTTTCTGTCTCCTCTGTCACTACATAATGTCCAAACCCAGCATCTGCCCAGGACACACCCCAAAAGAAAAACAGAATTAGGACTTGCCTTTGTCTGAGAAAATGTAATCCTCTGGCCTCCATCGTTTTTTTTTTTCATCAATACGTGTCACTACCCAGTGTTCCGCATAAATAGTCGCAAACCTCAGACCAAAGCCGTGTTGTGGCAGGTATTTTACGTCGCTCGCCCCTTTCCAATCCTGGGCCGCTACAGCTTCTCTTCCCAGGGATCTTCCTTTCCGGTTAGTGACTTGTGTAGCCGCTTCAGGGTACCTTTCCCGGTCTCCTTAGCCTGCAGCGCCATCGCGTGGTTTCCAACAGATTAAAGCGGTTGTACCAGCATTTTGACTGTTTTAGTTTTTTTCTTTAGTAGCTTACTTCAATTTTCCTTTTTTCCGGCTTATTTTATTAAAAATAAAGCTGATAAAGAGATTGTGTTGCATTCTTAGATTCTTCATTGCTCATAGGAAATTTAAAATCTTAACAATTTTTAAAAAAGTGTTCTAGCAATAACTCTACTTCATGGCTAGATTTAGTTTTTAATAGACTTTTTTCACTTTTGATCAACTTGCAAGTAACCAAAGGAAAACCGGTGAATGCCTATGGGAGCACTAGAATAACAGATATCACTTCTGTTACTAGAAACTGTGTGCATAGGAACTCTAAAAGGAAATTTTTTCCATATCTTCTTCAAAAACTTAAAAATCAGGGTCAGGGAGATGGCTCAGTGGAATAAGTGCTTCCCTGGCAAGCGCAAGGGGATTGAACTGAGACAAAAAAAAAAAAAAAGAAAGAAAGAAAGAAAAAACTTAAAAATCCCACTACAGTCCCTAAGCAGAATCTTTACTATGTAATAAAAACCAAGCAATTAGACTGTTCCTCCTCGCTGATGTTCTAAAAATATGCAAACATGACTATGATTATCCTGTAAATAGCATTTCTTCCTATTTCATACCACTCTGTCCCTACTTTAATATGTGAGCCTCTTGAGGACAGCAATACTATTAGTGATCTTTGGTGGCAAATCAGTGACTCACTAGTGCTTGCACTGAGGTAACAGTAAACAAACATGGGTAGAACGTGAAGCAATATTAAGTGCCTGCCAATCCCTACCATTTGTAAATAACATCATTTCGTTTACTCAAACTATTCAATTTCTATTCACTTTCATTTGTCTTTCTTTTTCTTATTTTAGTTTGGAAGGATAAAGAAAACTTTAAGATCTCTCTTAGTTGATATTTAGTAGAACCTAATTTCATTGCATTGCATAAAAGGAGGTAAAGGATGGATCAAACTACCATACACTTACCACTTTGGAAAGTAAGAAAACCATTTTAGTGTCTGCCTAACAGAATATTTTATTCAAAATATATATCAAGAAAGATGAGATTTGCCCATAATAAGGGATACAGATTAAATCCAGAGATGTTGTACTAAGAAAAGGCAAGATACAGCCAAAATAAAAAACTAAAACAAAACAACAAAAATCCATCATATTAAATATAAAAAGCACAACATACCTCTGCTAGATAACTTTTATTGCTTTTTGACTGAATTTGGGTTGGATTGTTTGGTATTAAAAATGTAACAGGACTCTCAATTTCTCATACTTATTAGATATTTCTATGTAGTTAATAGAATGGACTTTGTCTTAATATTCCCCAAAGTTAATCATATTTACACATACTCAAGAATTTACAATAACTTCCCTATTTTAAGATAAGTCTGATTAGATCTTTATCATATCACATTACAGAAATATCATATACTTTTTTTTTGCGGAACTGGGGATTGAACTCAGGTCCTTGAGCTTGCCAGGGAAGTGCTTATTCTATTGAGCCATCTCCCTGGCCCCAACATCATATACTTTTAAGCAGAGATGTTAGTAGGAAAATCGAACATTAAAAGACAATTTTACAAAAGTGTTATTAAAATCAAGAATGCCAATTCAGGAAGTAAAATAGAATGTGTAAAATACTAAACATATATGTCCTATGCACCAGAATATTTTAATAAATGAAGAAGTCTAGGAAAAGAAAAAACTAACAGAAAAATATAGACATAATGAATACAAGCTCAGTGAACACAAGCAGAAGATGAAATTTTCAAAAAGTAGCATCAACTTTGAGATAAAATTTATTTTATTGACTAGAATTCTATAAGAAACAATTCACTCAGAATAGATATGAGAAAAAGAAAACTTGTATTATTAATAAATTGGAATTAATGAGAAAATTTAATAGTGCCTAATTGGTGGTAAGTACCATAAACTATTTAATCAACAAGACATATTATGTGAATCTCTTGAAGTAAGTATCTATCAATTATTAAATACAAAATTATTTGAGAAGGTAGAATTCTCTTCAATTTTTCTGTCAGGAGAGTGGGGCTGAAGGTTGGGAATAACTGGCTTTACGTTCTTGAAATCATTGGTCTCAGAAGAACCTCCCCTCAGACACACCTCATACTGGTAGGAGTGCGACAGCGTCCCCGTGCCGCTGACGTCCACCAGGTGGGCAGGGAAGGGGCCCTCGGGCGCCGCCGAGCA